CCTGGGGACGGTGGCGGGGGGGGGGTGATGCTGGTCTCAAACCAACGGGCACCTGTCCCCAGAGCACTGTTTCCTGGGGGCGTTCTCATCCTCACGGAGGCACCGAGGACCTCGGTTTCTTAAGAAACTGCCTTTTGACAGGGAGGCTGTGTCAACGGGAGGGAAAGTCCACGGAAGTTCTGTCCTGCGAGATGCCTCCCAGGCCCTTCCCACACCTTTTATAAAACTTCAAAGTATTATTATTTTTTTTTTTTAGCTCTGGCACAGGGAGCCCCTGGCCGGCAGGAGGGGTGGCGTTGGGCCTGGATGGTCTGGTGGCCTTTTCAACTTGTTTAGCAGAGGCCTGTGAACATGTCCCGGAGGTTTCTGGAAAACAGCTCTCCCCCACCAGCGATGGAGAAAACAGGTTTGCGAGCTGCCCGTCTAGGAAGAGCACGGCCAGCTATCGGGACGGGGCCCTGAAAGCCCAGCCGGGACCTCTGGTCCCTCCCCTGGCCGCCGCCCGTGCTGGAACCGAGTCTCAGAGATGAGCCAGAACTGCGTGCCATCGCTGTGGGAGGTGAACGGGCGGCTGGCACCGGCCGTCCCTTCCCACGGCCCGAGTCCAGGTCTGGGCTCTGCCAGCGCCTGAGCCCGATGTCAAGTGGACAGACGTCCGGCAAGGGTCGTGGGCAGCCTGTAGGACGGTCGCCAGGGCCGCGAGCTTCAGAGGCGCCGCCCCCGCCTTGCGAGGGGGTGACCGCGCCGTGTGGGGGGGGCTGGGTCCTGGCAGGAGCCGAGAGCCACCCAGGGAAATCACAGAGGCCACAAGAGGCAGTGATCCTGTCCACGAGCGGAGGTCAGTCTGGACCGAGAGTGTCCTGGGTCCCCACGCTGTCCCTTCCTCCGCCCACCCCTGCATCTCCTTGGTTACAGCGACAGGAGTCTGTGGCAAAGCTGAGTTGTGCAAACGGACGCTGGCGGCAGAAGTCTGGGATCGAGGTGACATGGTGCCTTGCAGGGAACTGAGGGCGGGGGCGTGCTTCGTGCCGGAGAAAAGCAGCTTCTTCTCCTTGCGGCCCCGGTGTTCTCGGAGCCTGGCCCGGGCTGCCGCGTCCCCCATCCCAGCCCGTCGCCGTGTGGGGAGGGTAGCCCAAGGGATGCCCTCTGCACCTGCCGCTGCCCTGGACGCTCCCCTCCGGGCCTGCCCTCTCGGGCACGGGGTCTCTGTCAGGGCCTCGCTCGGCACGCACTGAGGCTGCCCAGCCTCTGGGGCCCCGACGCTCTCCGGTGGTTATGCTGAGCTCCCAGTGAGGCAGCTGGCTGCAGGATTCCTGGGATGCGGGAAGGAGAACCGATGCTGGGGGTCCTTTCTCACCTCCACATCCTCCACCCCTGTTAGGAAAGTGGGACTTGCCTTTGGAGCGAGCCTCGGGCATGTGGTGAGCCCTCTGGGGAGGAAGGCTGGGGAGCCGACGAACTGAGTAGTTGAGGAGGGCCCAGGATCCGGGACAAGCCTGCGTGAGTCCACTCAGTGGGGGCTGAGTTTTTAGTAGCAGGTGTCAGAGTCTAATCCAAGTTGTTACAAACATAAGGACGGATGTATTGGCTCATGTGGGCGATGGCTTCAGGCACAGCTTGATCCAGGAGCAAAAGCAGTGTGGCAGGAGTCTGTCCCTGCTCGCTGACGCTCCCCTCAGCCCTGGCAGAGGGCTGCCTGAAGCTCCTGCTTCATGGTCCCCAGTGTGTGGGGCCAGCAGAGAGGAGAGGATTCCTCCTTCCCAAAGGAAAAGCCCCAGGATGGAGCTTTGTTGGCCTGGGCCAGTGTCTGGTCCACCAGGGCACCGACCATCTGGGACCAGCTGGTGCTGTGGCCTCATTGGCCTGGTGGCAGGGGCGGGGCCAACCCCCTACTCCCTACCCCCACCCCCATCCCCACAGGGAGGTGCCGGGGCTGGGCTCCCCTAGCCTGGGCATCGCCCGCTGTGATGTGGAAAACGTTGGGGTTCAGAGCCTGTGGCCAAGAAAGAATTCTCGAGACGTCTTCAGTGCGAAAAGGTGGCTTTATTAAAGCACGCGGACAGGTCTGTGGGCAGGAAGAGCTGTGAGAAGCGACTGCTTACCCACCGCCAAGTCGGGAGGGGGCTGGGGACAGCACAGGCCTCCAAGGGATTTGGGAGCAAGGTTTCCAGGGCCCCGAGAG